TGTGCACGTTATTCCAGTAGCAGTGGGCAACTTTCTTTAGATTATTTCGCTTCCCATCGGGTTTATTTTTCTTTAGATTTATTGATTAACTTGCTGTAGCCCTGTAAAACTCAAACCAATTGAGCCGTACTTTTTATTTTTAACACATGGCTACTGCAAACACAGACTTCTTGTTTCTACATAAAATAATTATCGTTGAATATCCGTGAGACTGAGGTGATAAACTTATTATGCAGTGCCAAAGTATAGGGTTGACTTGACAGAGGAGTATTGGGTAAGCATACCTGTTAAGCGGCAACAGCGGCGAAACCGATCAATGTGCTTCCGGGGGAATTTTGTCCCACCACACAGGTACAATACCGCATCTCTTCATTCAAATTTATTACCCGTATAAAGAATCATGGAAAACTAGACAACGGGATAAATAAACAACATGAACTGGTTTTCTTATTCAGTAGTCGTTTGAAAAATCAGAAATAATAATTCCTTCCTTCTGGATGGACTAAAAGGATTTTTTTACAGCATTTTTCCATTTTTCTTAGAGAAATTCGGAACGAGTTATCCGGAAACTCCTGTTTGCAATTCGTAGTACAATATTTTTTGAAAATAGTTTGAACCTGCTCCACATGAACAGTTTACCTTTAAAATAAGTATCGATTTCAGTAAGGAATTTAGAACTTTGACAACGTTAGATATTTCCATACAACCTTGAACAAGCTGAACCAAGACAAATTTAATAATCATTGATTCAATCCATGAAACTGACTAATTTATAAAACTAGAATATATCTTCTGAGGTGACAGTTCCACCCACAGCAGTAAAATTGGTTCCGTTTGTCCACTTGGACTTGTTCACCACCATAGTAGCCAAGCCTTACAACCTACGAGGTCATGGGAGAGAAAGTATATGTTTACATCTTACGATCTGGTTGGCTTGGTTACCGTGTCGGCAGGACCTGAACGCTACTTTGTTTGTTTTAGGCGCACTCCGATGGGCGCGTGAGTACATGTGCGTGATTAGTGCTTACTCCGGGTCATAGTGTAGAATAAACATCAGCTGCAATCCGGTACGTAATTTACGAGCATCTTCATCATGTTACTGAACAACTCACCACTTCAGTGTGTTATCTACCCTCAAAATGATACTGTTGATTTGAAAAGAAACCAAAATCAAAATGATCTGTTCGTTATAATGTATCAAACTTTCATTGAGAAAATGTTTTTATTTCTAAGTATTTATTACGTGGTTAGTGTTTAATCTACTATAACAATAACAGGAAAGCTAATCTCAGAGAATATTCACCACATGTTGTCTGCCATCAAATGGCATACAATGAGCAAGTGTATGAATTCACAGAGTGTAGGTACTAATGAGCAGCAGCAACACGCAATGTTAAGTTTGAATCAAATTGTGAAAATTTAAGAATACTTTCCGGTTCAAAAATTCTCATGACAGGATTAAAGCCTCCAAACACTTGGTTCATTGTGATTTGATTGACCTGGGAAAGCCAGCATTATGTCACTTTTCATTGTTCACGGAGTTTTTCATCTACTGGTATTCCTCGAATACTGTGGAACATGGTGACCTGGTACAAATACGAAATGAGTGGGACGGTCAGCCTTGACTGAGATTTGAGGGGATGGATTCATTGAACCTCACTATTTTATGTCCGCTTTTAAATTTTGAGATAAGACACGTGCCAAGGAAAGTATCTCAACTGAAAAGTCGTATTGACTTCTGTCCCGTGGTTGCTACTTTTCACAGACCGTAAATTCTGTCTAACTAGACTTGAGTTTTGCTGACTTCAGACATTGTCGGTGTTTGGCAGTTCCTCCGGGCCACTCGGCTCGTTACCAATCGTACAATATAGAGGCAAACTTGCCAGATTTACTCATCTTTGGCTTTGATGTGACATCCAGTTATCTGTCAAGGTTCGAGTGCACGCTGCAACAGTTAAACCGGTTGTTCTGTATGGTTCAGAAACATGTTCATTGCAGGCAGAGGATTAACGAAGGTTGTCTTTGTTTGAACATTGGTATGGTCGTGGTATTGCTCAAATCTGAAGGGAAATCTGAAATGGCACCTATGAGGTTGGAATAAGAATAACAAAAAGCTCAGATCGTCAGATAAAACAGCAAAGTTCACGAGGTTAATTTGATTGAGTTGTGAATTGCTGGTGTCCTCAGATAGGATTCCTCGGAGCGCAACGTTTGCTGAGACAAGTAGTGGTCAGAAGATGAGCCGGAGCGACGACTCCATAACACTGACGTAGCATCTGAAAAGCCTTACCAGTAGATGTCGTCACGTATGGGTGGGGTTTGGATTGATTTACCCATTCAGTGACTAAATACGTCGACGGATAAGGCCAAGTGCCGTGACTAGTGGAGCTCTTGTATTCAAACGTCTTTATGATTGAGCTGGCACTATCATTTGTGACTCTTTTCTTTTTTCCCATACTGTGGTTAGATTCCCCAGTAAGGTTTCTTGGGGAGATACTTTCGACATAGGCCGTGTCCAGTGCATAGTTGATCGTTATTCCAACTTGACAGTGTTGAATTCCGGAATATGCATATGGTGACATCAGAACACAACCCAGCCGTGCCAGTCAATGCATCTAGAGAATCACTGAAAATAATTGCTTGCCCATGAAAAAATTAGCTGTAATAAACTCAGTCCTAAGTTCTCTTCCAACCCAGTCTAACCATCAGTGTGAAGGTTTTTCCTTGATCTTACAGTGAGCCCAAGCGTTTATGGAATATATCTTTTCCAGTAAGCTTATGACCAAGAAGTAACTATAAACATGCATATTAGATAACAAGCATGGGATGTGTTACTAATAAATCTTCTTGTTGATTTGCTGGTAAGTTTCAGGGAGACGTTTGCTGAAACAGATTTTATTAGTAAATCTCCTGGTCATTTTCCTGATCCGTATACGGAAACATTGTGTCAGTCGAATCCTTTTCAAACAAAGCAAATTAAATATTAATAAATTATTCCGGTCATTGCCGAGTGATACTGCTGTACCGTGGCTTATTCGTCAGTATGCAGACTTTTTGAAGAGGTTATCATTCTGAAAAATTTGCAAGTTTCCAGTCAGCCAAAACAATATTCTAGAGTGGTGTCATTTTGGTTGACTTTTTAGTATTTTAATCAGAACTGATGTTCAGATTATTCCTTCTTTTTGTTTCGGCGTGCATCATTTCCAATGAACGTCAATTCTTTATGACCACCGATTTAACGGAGTCAGTTCTTGGGAGCAGAACAAACACTGAACAAGGGACTGTCACGGGGAGGACCAAAGTGCCCCCAAGTGCCGGTTGTCCCATTCATCAGGGTTTTGCAAACTCGTGTGGAGTTAGCAGTGAACAGCGCAAATAACTTTCATTGCACCAACGAATATGCTGATGTTTGAAGTGGTGCTGGTCGAAAGTTGGTTATTTGGGAAATTAGGGACGATTTGTGTGCAATTTGTGCTATAGTTGTGTAACGTTCGACAACAAATTTACGTCAGAGTGCATTGTACGCAAACACATACCTTCCGCAAACCGGATTGACTGGTTAAGTATTGCATGGATCACCTCAGCATCCGGTTGGTTGTCACATTCATCACCACTGCTGTCTCCTTACGCTTGCACCTTTTATTGGCTGTTCACATCTGGCAACGGCCTTATCTTGGAACACCGTTAGGTAGGGTGAAGAAACCTCTTCTTACCCTTAGTTTTACTGTTCCAGACTCTCAGTATTTTATTGTGCTTAGTTTAGTTGTTACGGATTTGAGACCTGCTGACATGTAACTTCCTTTACAATACGTAGTGTTGATGAATCTTTTCCCCTTCTAAACCAAGAACCGATCTATTTCTGCGTTAAGTCTTCAACAGTGTGAGCTCGGCCAGGCCGACAAAAACTGCGGACGTATTGTTTATCAGCTGACTGTCGGCCTGCCGTCAGCTGGTCAATTTGCAGTTGAAGGTCCCCCATGGCAATCGATTGCATCCTACTGGCATTTATCACGATAAATCTAAAGATGCGTACACATCTTTCGTCTGGGTTTTGTTCAGATAACTACAAACCATCCTAGAAAATGAGCAGTGTGAATTTCGTGGGTGCACATGACAAATGCCGGTCGATCAACCAATTCGCCCCTTAGAACATGAGCAGGTAGGTAACATGGTGGTCCGCACAAAAACACAATTTAGGCAAACTGACAATAGTTTTACTCATGGTCACCTTCAGTACGTTTTAGCTTACACAACAGTGTGAAGAGTATTCATCGCTGGGCTAAATAGTACCGCCAAAACTCGGCACAGTGTCTCTAATAGATAAGCCTTTTGGTTTCCAATTACGTCATGAACTGTCCCTTGTTCGAATCAGCCGAGTATAATCTTAGCTCTTATGGTGATACTGACTGGAGGTCGAAGAATATCAATATACGCGAGAGGCCCCTTATTCAAGAGTTCCATATTGAAAGGTTTTACTGTATACAACCACCTATACCTGCGTCTATAGTCTTCTTAAATTTACTTTTGGTACATCTAGGTTATTTTCTCGAATACTGTTCACAACGGATTTCAGATTAGGAGCGTGACGTCAGATCCACGACAGCTTTTTCTGTCTACAATTTTCATAAAGTTAGGCAATGATGTTTGTCAGTCAGTACGTATGATGTTTACCGAGTCATAACTTGTACAGAGGACTATATGGAATGGGAACAGTGAGCTAGCAACAGAACTGCATTTTCAACTGTAAGTAAAAAACCTTAAGCAGCTGTTCGACTGACAAGTAATAAACAAAAGCGAATACTCATGAACGATTGCCCAAGAAATGTCAAATTACGAATTGGTTCTTTGTTTAGGAAGAGAATTTCATCGGCAAACATCAAACACACCACAAATCGGTTCGTTTTTCGAGGACAGTTACTAATCGTGATTTGGGAACGGTGTAAGATATCGTTTACTTGGATCTGAACGAATGACATTTCCCGGCGAATATGACAAGGTGATCACATTCTCCGGTTATTCTTGGCAGCATTTTTCAAACGACTCCCATTGGAAGATCTCACTTGCATTTTTGCAATTCGTAACTCCGTTTGACTGCATTCCAGTTCAAATTTTAACTCATGCACAAGCTGCATTAGACTCAGATTCAAGAACCGCATAGTTTCTTGTTCACGACATTGCATAAATACACTCAGAGTGGACTGGGAATGGTGAACTGGGAAACAATCATCCGGAGCCCAAAGATCATGTGAGGCAGCTGTCAACTGCTCACGTGAACCTACGATCGGATTTGTCGACGCAGTACTACGAAACTGATCTGCATGTTTACATATCAGCTTCTCTGTTTGTGTTGATTTGTTTGACGTGGATTTGGTTACCGTCATCTGAAAGAAAGTCGGAAATAAGTATAATGTCAGTTTTCCATTATTATCTGTTTATCTATCATGGGTCTCTCGGAGACTCTTTTACCAGGAAACAAGAAGGATTTTCAATGTTTCTCAATGTCTCAACTAGGGAAATGTAAACTTGAGCAAATTTGAAGAATACTGAACTGGACTATGGCAGGGTATTCTCGATCAAATTATTCTTATTATTCTTCCCGTTCTTCTTCAGTTCGAATGACCTATTTTCTTGGTGAAGTCCACCAAAAAATTGAATTGTCAGCTTTGGTTTCGAATTTTATTATCAATTAGTATTGCACAAACCACCTTGCTTCAAAACTATCTTTTGTATCGGTTCACCTTTCATTTGAAAATGCTGTTTATGGACTGTTTTTTAGCACCAGGTGTGGAAGAAGCCACTGCAAAATACTTGTTAAGCCCATGCCGATACAACAAATAAAATAGAATTATTCGGTTATCAGTAACGTCTTACCTTTCCCGGCGAAAAGTTTGAAATTGGTGACATATTTCATTTCTCCATGGCTAACCAGGTAGAACGTTAACTTGGTTTTGAAGCCATATTCAGCGGCGTAGTATTATAGAATAAATATACTCCAGCTCGAAGTTTTATACATGTTACTAACACTCCAATTCACGCGTAAAACCAAAATTCCTACCATCTAACGACAACAAACTTTGGCCAAAATAGTTAGGCTGAAAGGCCATGAAATAAAACATGCAGTGCACCCACTTGGTACTCATGAGATATTACTTACGATGGTTTTGGACTTTCCATAATAGCCAGCCACAAAATATGAAGAAATCTTATCGGCGTTTACGCAAGCAGGTTAGTGACAAATTGATTCTAGTGAATTGATAAAACTGAAGGAGAAAACCAGAACAGTAGCCTAACGTCAATAAATAAAAAGAAAATTATTCACTTGACTGATATTTTTCAACCTAAATAAACTCCAGTTGGCATAAAATGACTACAATTTTGTGTAAGCTACTCCGTGCAGAGTGCATTTTGTGGCACGATAGTGACGGAGGCAATGCACCTTTTGGCCAACACTGGGACACAGTTGCAAGTGAACTTATCTTCGTAAATCACACTACGTATCAAACATATTGATTAAGTGCCCGTGTGATAAAGGCTTAACAATTTCAAGGGTTAATATCCATCTATGATCTCAATGGAAAACTTGTTACTTCGCCTCAAATTACAAACTAAAATTTGGTGTTTGCAAAAGAATAATCATAAATTCACAACAAAATTTGTTTGGGACTGGTTTTCATTCCTCACTTTAAACCGCTATTTTTCCATCAAATTATCTCAGATAATGGCTCACTGAGCAAAAGAAAAATATATAATATAAATATATAACTGGTTTATTCTTCCCACAATTCGAATGTTAAACTGGGTATGGTACACAGATGGGCATCGAACTGCTAATTTCTAAACGGCTAGATCACAAATGAAAATCCTTTCATACAATATAGAAATAGAATCCGCGAAACGTGAATAGCCATTCAAGTCCAGGTTCTTCGGCAGTGATTTATTTCTACTTTTTCTGAAGCTTGTACGTCCTGCTTTGAAAAAGATGGGGAAAAGCAGATGATCGGCCAACAGTAAAGACCGATTACCTCACATTTTGATTGACCAAGGCCCCCTTCCAGAAATATCGCACTATTTCGTCCAGTACGTACGTACATACACACATACACACATACATACATACACGCATGCATGCATACATACATACGTACATACGTACAATTCATATTGTATCAATATTCATAAATCAGATGATGGAAAATCCACTTGCATTCTTGCATATCAAAATTTCACGCTGCTGGCCGGCTCCAAACTAACGACGTTCCGCTAACCGGGGATTTGATCAAATGGGACCAGCAACACAGAGCTGCATTTGATCAAACCGACATTTTCATATCCTTGATGAATTCATTGGCTGTGCGAGTAGCCGAGATGTGGAATAATGGAAAATCCATTTGTCCTTTTGGTAGGCGGAAGCCTGCCAGTCGCATTCCGGCTAGTGATGAGGTAAAGACTGCCAGTAAATTCTCCACTTAATATCGGCTCCTCTATACATCATTATATTTAAAGCAGTTTATTTTCATCTGCACAACAGACAGTTGAACTGCGCTTCGGCATAAGGCTTTGATCTTTTAGAGAGGGCTATCTCCCAGGACGATAAGGTGATTGATAGATACAACAATAACAGGATCTTGAAATCCGATGTATGTACATTATGAAAACATTTTTGGAAGCAAGAAACTTTTTCAATGAATCATTCTCTGGTCTTCACAAATGGTATTGGAAATGCATATGTTCGAATGAGTCAGTAGACATCCGAATAGAACAAGATGTTTGTCCGGAGGGTTCGCGGGTTGGAATTAGATGGACCGCGTCGCACAGGTCACGTGGTTTAGACTTAAATTACTGGAGTAGGGTTGATTGACTTGCAGCTAAGTTAATCTGAAGGCTTGGACAGACACCTTCTGTCTGCACCGAGCAGGTGTGAAAAGTAATTGCTGATCGCTCGTGCAGCAATCAATGAATGTAAACCGATGTAGGGTTAATCTATACACTATTTGTAATGCTTTCCATGCTTCATGGCCTGTTTCACCCGAGTTTCGGACAATAACACTTCTTACGGTTCTTGTTCCTCTGCTTTGAAGCCATCTTGAGGAGTTCCACTTAATCATATGAAATAGTTGACTTGCTATTCGACCGATGTTGGTGGAGTTACATGCTCAGCTGAACAAATAAATCATACTTGAGGAGGCCAGATTCAGAAGCAAATCCCCTGTATCATTTCTGATGATCAGAGAGCCTGAGAACATACAGGACGCACAAGCTGAGTCGAATGTTCGACTCATAGAAGTGTGAAAAGTCACCCCCCCCCCCGCCAACTCTCAAAAGGTTTATCCCATTTAAATGAGGCTTAGCCCACTTCAAAGCACCCATTTTTAATATGGTTTGTATAGTCAAATGAATAAAATAGTGATGATCGCTGTTTGCCTCCAGGATCATGTTCTGATCTTCTCATAAGAAATCCTCTTAAGATTGTTATCATTGGAATTACTCTACGATGATCCCCATGGGTTGATAATCTTTCGCAAATTCCCTCAGAAATCCGACGCTGATTATAGTTATTATTTTTTATGATGTAGCAAGATTCACTTACTTCATTCTCAGTGCAAAACTGCCGGTGAGTTGCCAACTCTGATCGATTTACTTCAACACCACATCCTTCACATTTGACTGGGGCACAAGCACAGCAGGACTTGTGAATTTCACTTTCCATGAATTCCACCGATTTCACTACTGCACAGCCGCGACTGGAGTAAGCACACTTCATGGGCAACGATCGAATCAGATTACGCAGCGCTAGCACAGGTCTCGCCAAAGCCAGTGAACCAGAATGAGCCACCAGTGTTGCTGACTCGGACGGGTAAACCGAAGCATCGAGCAGCTGGCGACACGCAGGGCAGCGTAGATTTGTGCTTCGAAGACGAGTTTCACTCTCATTCCCGGTGGATAGGACGGCAGTGATTTCAGAATTTGGCTTCTGCAGCCATTCATCCAGACATGCGTGACAAAATGTATGCCCACAATTTGTAACCACAGGATAAATGAACACACCGCGACAGATGCCACATATGAGATTTTCATCTACCGGATCAGAAAATCTTTCTGTGGGATATCCCATTTGATTGAGAAACAGAATAAAGGATGAGTAACTTGAATTGGTCAATCGGGAATTATTACCATTACCTTCTTCTTTCCCAACGTTTGTTGACACATACACACGTCAGACGTTAGCAATTATTTGCAATACAGTCCGGTGCTACCACCAAATTATCAGACAAGTAGAAAATAGTATCAGAATACACTGCTTGCAATTCGTTAGGAAAGCTTTATAATGCTTCCTTTGATGAAGGCAATGTGAACTCAGTTTCGCCGAGTAACTGGCCTATAAGGGGTCTAGCTTATTCCCACGTGAACTTGAACATGACACTGACCAATAGGGAATGGATATCCACGGCTAGGAAACCAGTGAGAAAAATTGGCCTATTTTCCCAAGGGTGTTCAGATGGGAGAAGTTTGGAATCCGGTATGGTTGGTATTGGAAGATACTCCCGAGGTCAGGTGCAATTTCTGTATTCTACTAACCCATTCCCATTGTTGTTCTTCTCCGTCTAGTTTTCCTTCTCAGGTCTTACAAAACAAGTCTACTTCAGCTTTGTTTTGTAGTTACTATAACTAACGTGAGTACAGAATGTGCCAGACAATAGTAAGCTACCTAAAAACAGATGGCCTATAGGCTTGAAATTCGCACCTCATATTTTATGAGTTACGTTCAACCACGTTGCTCGCCACTGGAGAGGACAGACGCTTGTGAAGACCGTACTCATGGAAGAACAACCATGATGCCTAGTTTATTAGAAGGCAAAAGTGCATTTATCGGATGGCCAAGTTATTGCACGTGTAATAATATCTAGCTTCCAGATTTCTTTTATACGCTGGAATTGACGGGCAAATTTTTTATCATCAAAAATTACTACTTTTCTTGTAGGTTTTCAATCTCGGTGCTGTCTTAGTCCCCACCGTGTCTAGCTACTGGGAAGGGTATTTCCAAGTAGGTACGAATACTATCAACAAATGTGTTCGTGTTGCCTAAATTTTTCTCACCTCAAATATTTGAGAGTAAAATTCAGTCAAATATTTACGTGAACAAGAAAACAATTCCAGACATCAGAGAATTACACCTATGTCGGATAAATTTGAAACAAATTCTTCTTCAATTTTTGACCGATTTCCGCATCGATAAACCGGCTGTTAGGGGTAACGATCGATTTTCATTTTTTAAACCCCATTTGCCAGAATGTTTTTAGATAAAAGAGGGCAAGATAAACCCATCCCGAATCAGCTTGCACCGGACGGAAGAAATAGTCAAGAGTTACTGAAAGAATTAAGGTATTGTGTCTCCTTTTAGGCAACAACACTAGTTTATGATAAGATGATGCGCAAAAGGGTGAAGAAAATGGACTTCTGCTGGCGAATTTCTACTTTAATAGTATTCCCGTCCAAAGTGACCATTTAATCAGTAGATTTCAGAATCGGTTTGGTCAGAGAATCTCTCAACTAGCATTACAGAATCTAGTATACATTAAGTATAGAGGCGTAAAATCAAAAAACAATCCCCTGGTTTAGTTCAAACTTAGGCATTCCAGTAGTTGATCAACGATGAAAAGCTTGGTTCCTCGCACCAAATGCAAATGTTCTAAACAACTGACACCTATCATTTCATCAAATGAACCCGTTTGATTTTCTCGTAGTTGTTGAAATTAGGTCCACATTCTCATTTTGTAACCGAGTGAAACAAAGAGTGCGTTTGCAAATTCGAATAAACAATCTGTTAATTTGGTAGAATATTTAGCAAATAACTGTCAATTATTTACTGTATTTTTATTCGAGAAGATTGCAAGCCGTTCATTTTCTCGTAACGCGGAAAGTAACAGCCGAAAAGAAACCCCATTTTAAGCAAAACAGATTGTTTATTATATTTTTTTCACTTACCAGGAGTCTAGCTGCACTAACGGAATTTGAATAAATACGGAATATGTGTAAGTATCAGACAAATATACTTTCGTTTGATATACGTTTGATATACTTTCCAGTGTGAGGTGCCGATGACCGTAAAGGATGACCTTGAAATTTAGGATTGAATATTTTAGTAATATGTCTTTAATTTTGGAATTTCACTTTTATGTGAATGTTGTTTTTGTTCAAGAAACGCTATAGAAGATCCAACATGTTAACATTGTTTTTGATAATAATGAGCAGTTTCATTGACAAACGAAACAGTCGGAAATTGAGGTCTCAAACAGAATTTCAAAAAAAAACAGAATTCGATTAGGTGAAAATCTCTCAAGGATGCACCAGTTTCAGTTGATGAGGGTCTTTTGTATCAAAATATCCGGTTTGTTTTAGTTTGGTCTCATTTTACCCTCTTGCTATTGCCTTCGTTTGTCCCGCTTACTTTGAAAATCTACTGCGTAGTACTTTATGAAAACCTGAAAATTTTGGAAGCTCATACATATAGCAGAGAAACTTTTCAGGTCACATTGTTTTTGCTCTACCAGCTGAAATACAGACCAATTTTTCACAGTAGACTCATCCTACGCATAATGCCATGGGAACCAGATACATCTGTTAAGGGTCGTTATCACGTAAACTTGAGTAGCATTGTTGTTGACAATTACCACTACTCAGGTCTTTCAAATGTCAAATGCGGTTTCTATGATAATTGTTTTGATGCGTGCAGGAAATCTCACCCTTATATTGACATCAATATTGTTTTCTTTGTACTACCTTGGGCGTGCGGGCTTGTTGCCATATCAACCTGCGAATAAATTAAATATCATACCCTAACATTGTATTGATTGCAATCTCTTACTGAGGTAGGTAGATTTATCTATAGTACTCACTGCCATTTTGTACGCTGTTTGTACATTCGGTTTTCAGTAACTATCTGCGTTCATATAATTACCATGGTGCTGATGTAAACAAAAATTTTCGATTAAACAATAGCTTCGAAATCGTTTTTTAGGTCCGATTCTACCACACTATCCAGTCCCTTCTACGTACAATTTTGGCAGTCAGAGGTATTCGTTTGTACTTAGTCTAATAAAGGTTGCTTTAAACAACGGAGAGGAATGTTTTATCTTTCTAAAAATATTTGTGACTTCAAGAATAACCGTACACATTGTGGTCAGTAATAGAATCCGAATAAAGCATAAACCGTGCTAAATAATTTTGGCTATATGATAGCAGTTCTGTTTTGTAAGATTAAGTCTAACAACCAGCTTCGGAGGATTTAAAGACAGTGCTCGACTAACGTAATATCCGTAAGTTGTATCTGTTGAAAGAACATTGAAGTTTATCGATATTTCGATTTTATGAAGTTGCTTTCAATCGATCATCCCAGATCAACTGAAACGCATAGCGGCAGTTTGCAGGCAAACAAGAAGGGAACCATTGGTCAGTTCACGTTAATTTACTGAAGTAGATCTTTCCCGCCTGCAGTTAAGACTGGTTGCTCACTTTGCTGATAAAGCGCCAAGTTTAAATATCCGTGGAGCATGTAAAAGATGAACTGTAGTGCATACTGCAGCTAAGAAAGTACAGGTTGAGCGGTCTGATGGGGTATAAAAACAGGAAAGTTCATTCGACTATTCACATTTTTCGTTGATATCAAGTTTGTTGTCGTTCAAGTAATTCCTCACTCTAGATTAAACGATTACGTCAGATGCGCTTACGAAAGCTTATTGCAACGGAGAGTAATAAACAGACCCTTTGAAAAGATCTGGTTTGAACTGCAACGAGATGATTTGGAATTTCCTTCTGAAGTCGGTGCTAGGGCTGCAGTTTTCCGCTGTGAAGGCTCCCTCTCTTTTTCTTCTCGTTCACTTCCTCTTACTATGTGACAACGGTACTATATTTCCTGAAGAAAGCCTCGGCCAGGTAAAGGATTCCAGTTGGGGAAGATTACCGGGTGGTCGCAGCATGACTCAAACTCAGAACAGAAGGACTGAAAGCCCCCTACAAGGGCGGTGCGACCACGGCCAGTTTTCAACTCCCAAAACCACATCGCTAGTGACTTTCATTTTTTCTATGCAGTTTAGAATCTTAAAATTCGAAAGTAGAGAGATTCCCATGATTACAATGTTCCTCTTCTTCAGTTAGCAGTGTCCATCAAAATCTAGGAGCGTGTGAGACACACTTTCTGGAACCGGGTTACGGGTTCTGCGTCAATCTTTAGAGCTGCGATAGAAGACTTCCACGTACTTACAGAAGACTGAAGTTCAGTGCTTCTTAAATACGGTTTGGCAGATCAAACGGAAGTTGAATTCATCAAAACTGAGCAAAGACAAAAATCACGAGATGGGTCCAACGTTGGCAGACCCGTTCCTGGGCGTGATTGAAACGCAAATCTGTGACAATATTTCCAAATTTCCTCATTCACCATGATAATTTGGAGGTTTTTTCATTTTCCCGAGTCAGGAATGTCGTTCTTCTTTTGGAAACACCGTTTATTCCAGCCACCTTAACCTCGCTGTTTCTCATAAAGAAGAAAGTGATTATATTTTGATCAATTCAATATTTTTGATTCTGTTTGATGGAAACACGTATAATATCCCCTAAATATCCCTCATCCACCTATTGAAGGGGGGCACTTAGCATGAAGATAAACAACAACACACTGGTTGCCAGGTCACTGGCTTATTATTCTGTGACATAGAAGATGTAACCACTCAACCTGGAAATCCTTTTCTGTTTAAAGAACATGGCCTTCTGTCAGATGATTGCATTCACAGCTTTTTCACAAGTACTAAGTATTCTTGATCAGGTCCATGTAGGTTTTGCTCTTTTCATACCAATATTGTGTTGACTTTTTCGGTAAAAGTTACCCATTTAGAAAGAATGAAGTCTGAAACACCATAGCAAAACTTCCTAGCTTCAGGCGTCCCGTCTTTCTATGAACTAGCAATTTTATTTTAGCAGATTATATGTGGTTTGTTTTTACGGTTACAACCCAAACAGCCCACGTTTCAGCGCTGTCAGGCACTTCCCGAAGGAATTCTAGGGTGGCGCACCTAAACAGTGAACTTCACAAAACACTATGTGGATGGTTGATAATTTTGC